CATTCCTGCATGTAGCACCCTGTCAAGGACTTCTCAGTCTCAATGTATAAACCAGATCAGTCTGCTCGTGGAAACCCATCACTTAGCCGTAGAGGTACTGATACAAGGGGAAGAAAACAATGGAATCCACTTCAGAATCTTACTTGAACTTATCACACAACAAGTAGAGAATTCATGTGTTAGCAATCTTAATGGCAGAGTTAACAGAAGAACAAAGTCCTCTTCCCATATACCAAAGAATGAATGCCAACAGCTCAAATAATAAATAAATAAAATTCAACAGGAAGACATTTATTTGGCTTTTCCCTCATTGCTGAAAAAGATGTGAAGAAACACAGGATGAAGACAGCTTATAATGAATACCTGATGAGTTCATGCAAGACTGCTTGTTTGCTTCAGCACTTAGGACTGGATTGCTGCTGACATGGATCGTGAGTGTATTAGACTCCTGTGAACAGTGTTTTTGAGTACTTCTCATTGTGGGTAATTCCTTAAAAGCAGCCGAAACGTAGATGCTGTCCATCAGGAGAATCATGCAGGTGTTTGCTGGAACTCCTTTGCAAGGTGTTCACTAGATGTTCATGCTGGAAGCTCTGTGTGCTTACTGGGCCTTTCAGAACCCCAGAGATTCTGGTTCAAAGAAGATGGCAGTTGTCTGCCATGTATGAAGAGCAGTACTTTCTCTTCAGGAAAGCATATGGCCAACCTCTGCCAAAGGAATGAACTGACAATGAATTACCCTGTATGTTCAGAAGAATTGTACGTAGCTCATCTGAGGTGACCAACGTTGGACTCGGCAGAGTATAGCAGAGAGCCTTTTAAAGTCTCATGAGAACCATGAGAGCATGGTTCAAGACGTGTACCTCAAGCTCTCCTGAAGTTGAGTAATTGTGCCTGTGGGTATTGGTGGAAATTCAAATGACAGTTTTGTAGGCAAGGCTGGATGCATTAAACAGCAGCAGTGTATTAGCCACTTAGTCTTCAATGACTGTTTTCAAAACACAACACAATAAACAAATAACACCTAGGGGTAGAGATTTTGGCAAAGTTATCTATAAGAGTTATCAAAGTGATGCCTCCGTCTCAAGATTTGATGCAAAGAGGAGGAAATCCCACTGTGAAAATTGCTGGTCTTTGAGATCTAAGAAAGGAATTCCCAGAGAAAATATTTTTTCCGTTCCAACGCAAAATGAAAGGCAGAGAATAGGCAAGTGGTAAGCAGCGTACAATATTTTTGTTTAATAGAAATTGTTCTCCAAGTGTTAGTTTTAAATCATACATGAAGAGTAATATGGATCATTTCCATAATGGATGTTGTTAACTGAAAGATGTGATATTTCATGCAGTGTTGTTACTGTCTTTATATGAAGCAGCTGCTTCTCTTTTGTTGAAGTCAGACAGAAAGAGCAGCTGAGTTTGAACCCAGCTGCCTATCTGCAAAATGATCTGGATGGTCTTTTGGACCTTAAAGGTTGCTTAGGCATTAAGAAGGTAATGTAGTTTAATTTTAAAATTTAATACCAAGGTCTTGAAAATGTTCCCAAGAAAGGGCTGATATTTTCAGAAGTATTTTAGAGAACACTACTAGTGATATTTTCTTATACCAGACCTAAAAATATATTTGCTGCAAATAAATCCTTTTTGCTTCCACCACCAGCTATTATTCACTATTTAGTTCTACCTTTATGTATCTATCCTGCATCCTAAATAAAGCTGTTGTATGCATAAACATTGCTTCATTAATAAGAGATGCATTCTAACAGAAAAATCTTGACTCAAGCTAATAGAAAATCCGTTATAAAGGAGTTGGAAGGGAAATGTGGCACATGGGAAGAAAAATTGAATGCTAACATTGAACTCATTCACGAAACTTTCTACAAAATAACTCAGAAGCACAAGATTATTTGAAATAAATTTTTAATGAAATTTTCTACTGCTAATTTCCTTCAAGTGTCTTTAAAGCTTTCCTTGCTATAATAACATGCTTTATCATTGTTTGAAAAACTTTGTGCTGCATATTTCAGAGTCATAGAATCGTTTAGGTTGAAAAAGACCTTTAAGTTCATCAAGTCCAGCAGTAAACCTAGCACTGCCAAGTCCACCACTAAACCACGTCCCTAAGCACCCCATCTACATGTCTTTTAAATACCACCAGGATCATTCATCAGTGATCTTAATGTGGCTAAAGTATGCATCCATTTTATATGTTTTAGACGCTTCATGCCACAAATTCAAGATGTGTATTTTACTTAAAACTTTTTACTGACTTCTTGATAATGAATTGCATTAAAACACTAAAATATTAGAAATAATTTCCTGAGCTTTGTTGTTGAGAAAATAAGAGTTTTTTGGTTTTATCTCTCACCTCTAGAGTGGATGGGAACAACAGCGTTCTCGAGTATCGCAGTTTTGCATATACAGGCGATAGATTCTGGTGCATTCTTCTCTATAAACTGGCAATTACATGTGAAAAGTCTGGCAGCCTTTTAAAATCGTTCTGTTTTCAAGAGTTTTGAAAATAATGTATCTGTTGGAATAACTTTGAATTGCATCTCATTATTATCTTACTAAATTTACAATTTTTTTAAAACAGATTGAGAATCTTGATCCCCGAGGAATTCAGCTGTCTGCTTTATTTATGAGTGGTGTCGATATGGCACTTTTTGCAAACGATGCTTGTGGACAGCCAATTCCATGGGAACACTGCTGTCCGTGGATGTATTTTGATGGAAAATTGTTCCAGACCAAGCTCATCAAAGCAAGCCGGGAGAAAGTTCCGCTCATTGACCTCTGTGATGGTCAGGTGTGTAGTTTCAGAAGTGTGACAGAGTATGAAGTGTGCCAGATTTTCGGAAGTGTTAGGTGTGGTTCGTTTAACAGTCATTTACTTCACGTATCACCTCTCTACTTTTAAAAGGGAAATACGAGGTGAATGGCTAGTAAGTATTTTTCAGCTCTATTTACTCTCCTATCTCTTGTTGATGATTGAGATGGCGTTTTGGTAGATCTGAGAGAAGTAAATGGGTGTAAATTTTAATTACATGTTTTTTCTCTCTGGAAACTGGAACTTGAATGCAATTGTGATGTAATGAATGACTGAGTTGAAAACTCTCCCTGCTTATTTGTTCAAGTACTGTCTTTCTGGGTCAAGCTAGCAGGATTGTTGCAAAGGACTAAGCTGCAATGGTTTTACAGTGAAGGAAAAATTGTCATTTCTGACTTACTTTAGACTGTGATCTGTGGTCCTTAAGCTCAAAATCTTTTCACATTTCTTACAACCATCTTAAAATACAAATGAATTAGTTTTTTGTTGTATCCAAGTCATGCAAAGTTATCTAACTATAAAAACAGGAAACTGATAAAAATCAGCAGTTTGCTGAATGACCAAAACATTGTTTTTAACTTTTTGGCTGGTATGAAATCTTAACAAAACAGCTTACCTCTTATTTCTGACTCAAGAGAAACTGATTATAGATTAAATATTGATGATGGCTGTGGTCCCTCTCAGGCTTGTTAGCCTCTAGGCATGCTTTAGCCTGTTTATATAGATTTTGTTTTGCAGTCCAGGTTTATGATGATTATTCTGTTTAAAGGGCTGCATTATGTGTTCAGGAGACTACAGATGGAGGTTTCTTAGTTCCTTTCTGGAAAACCCTTTTTAACTTGTAAACTGTTTCCGTGTTACCGACTTCTAAACTGTCTCGGTGTTTCGACTCCCATCTCTCTACCGATATGTAAAGATTTTCTTGTGAACAATTGGAATATCGTTGAACTATTAGCAGGTATGCAAGACAGATTATTGTAATTTTCTAACTAGCTTTGTGGAAGTTGTTTGCAGTAGTTACCTGGTCTTCTATGATTTCGATGCCTTCTTTGAATTTGTTGTGTAAATGTAGCTTTATACAAGTGAAATCAGAATTTTAACATCTGTTTGTGACCTTCTTTTTATTCATAGGCTGAGCAGGCAGCCAAGGTTGAAAAGATGCGTCAGAGCATCCTAGAAGGATTAAATTTCTCCAGGCAGAACCATCCTCTCCCTTTCCCACCTCCACCTGCCATGCCTTTCTATCCAGCTTCTATGTATCCTCGACACTTTGGGCCAGTCCCACCACCTCAGGGCAGGGGGAGAGGCTTTGCTGGTAAGTGCTTGGACAGCAGTGCAACACATGTTGGTGTGAAGCATTACCTTGTCTTTCACATTCCCAAAACTATGAACTGATTAGCTTGTTCAACTTCATAGGAAAAATACATAAAATTAAGTGTTGTCATGTGCCAATCGCTGTATTTGGTTGTTAATGTATTAGCCATAGCCTAGCAATATGGAATGTGTTGTATTGCTTCATATTTCCATCAGGATTTTTAGTAACTGTGCCAGATCAAAATATTTTTACTGCTATTGTATGAAATAGCAAAAAGAGGAATGGATCGACACTGTATGCTATTAAAAGGCTCTTATTTGCACTGGACATTGTTTCAAAACGTTTATATTTATAAATATTAAGAATGCCTAAATTAATGGACACGGTTTAACTGTCAGGATTGAAGACAACCTTTCCTCCTCCGCGCCCCTCTGTATTTTGCTACAGTCATTTAACCATTGGCACCCTTGAGTGTACATACTGATATAACCATTCCAGGCTGTTTCTAGAATTATTCCCTTTCTCAAAATCTCCCTGGTACCAAGGTCCATGGGTGTATTCGTACTGGACATTGGGAGTAGGTCGTTCTTGGGGTGCCACAACTGTAGCCATCGGAGCTCATTGCCAAAAAATTGTTGCAAGCCTTTCAGCGCTCATTATGCCGTAGAAGTTGGGATGCGCGTCCCAAACCCATGTTAAAGGCCTGCTATTTGGATAAGAGACCCCGTGCTCGCTGAGGCAGCAGGACATCCTTGGCCAGGGCTCCCTCGGTGGTGGTGGCTTGCTCCCATGCAGCATCACCTGCAGGAGCACGGCCCTCCTGGTGGCTCCGGAAGGGTGGAAGGAGGCAGCAGCGTCTCTGCTAGGGGCCTTCCCAGTGCCTGGCCCCCTCACAGCTTTTCCCCTGTCTTTCTTTACCCTGGGTCTAACAGGAGTCTATGGCTTCGGAGGCCCTTATGGGGAAACAGTAGCCACAGGCGCTTACCGGGCCTTCCGGGTGGCGGCAGCGGCAGGACACTCCGGAGCCTTCTCTGGCAATGACAGCAACAGGACTAGCAAGTTTCAGGGCGGTAATTATACCCAAACCCCTTTTCTTAGAGCTTCTGGCAACGGCTTCCTTCACTTTACGGTTTGGTCTGAGGCTTTCCTACTGACTGCCGGTCTCCCTTTCTCCCTAACTGTCTCAGCTCTCCCTCTCTAGAGCCTGCCCAGGCTGCTGCCCGCTCTGCTCTCCCCAGGTCCCTGCCGCAAGCCCCCTCGGCACCAGCCTCTCACGCCTCGAAGCCCTCCTACAAGCACAGCATAGCTGTAAAACCTAACGAGACGGTCTGTCTCCTGCGCTTCAGAATGCGAGGGTGGAATCTGTAATCAGCTGACCTTTGCTTGAATGTATTAACGGTTGTTTTCTAAAATTTGGGGGCAGTTGAGCTTTTTGCAAAAACAACCCAATGTAGAAATGACTCGCTGCAGTGTTACTGCTAGCCCGTTCTTTGCTGGCATCAGTGTCGGCGTGGACGCAGGCGTGAGACTTACTTACCTACCTGTGTGCCTGTTGCTCGTCTCCTGTACGAGGTGGGACAGTGGAAACCTGTTAATCCCAATCCCCTGTTTAGGGTAAATTTTTTCCATATATTTAGCTGTTCTTTCTGGCCTCTGAGCTTTTCTCCTAAGAGCGAACATACCTCTGATGCTTCCTTGTGTGAATAACTTTGCCCCTGTAAACAATGTGCATTTGAAGCTGAAAGACTTGTACAGGGCGGTATGAATCTTTTTGAATGTAATTAGTAATTTAGTTCCTAGCATATTTATGTTTGAAGACTAATCGTGGCTGCATAAACGCTGTGTTTTGTAACCCTTTCAGTGCTGATGGTCTTACCAGTAACATCTGGCTCAGTTGCACTTACCTAGATTTCTTGAAATATATGTTATGCCCCAGTTTTGGTTTTTAAGGGCAAAACACAGATATAAAGAGATGAGCAACTTGAGTGGAAGATACATTCCTGTTTTACACAACTGCAATTTTAGCTGCTTGCTTGGTAGGGGAAGGATAAACCTACCATTTACAACCAGAACAGTTTAAATGCTGTATTTTTATAACAACTTAGTGTTACTACAGATAATTCTGCCTAGTAAGTTATTTACAGCAATTATAATCTGTGTGTCTTACGCTGATATTTGGTGTTCACTAAAAAGTGCATTTAAACCTGCAAAAGTTACTTCATTAGGAATGCAGGGGGGAAAAAAAGTCTTCAGATAGCTTATAAGATTTTACTTCAGTTTCTTAATCCTTATCTAAAGTATATTTTTAATTACTGAAACTGAAGTACTCATGCAAGATAACTTTTCTTTTCAGAATTCATATCTATTTTTAAAAAGGGGGGGAAATAAAGACTCTTGGAGTTACAGTACTACTGAAAGACTGCAAAATGAGAAATAATCTCCCAGTACCGAAAGAGGAAACTGTGTATGTGATAAAATCTGGGCAAACCAGTTTTCCATTCATTCGTAACTTCAATGTTATGATTGTGAAGATCAAGGTTTGGTTTTGCTTTTATGTGCAGGAGTCCAACCTATTCCTTCTCAGGGAGGGAAACTTGAAATTGCCGGCACTGTAGTCGGCCATTGGGCTGGAAGCAGACGTGGACGAGGGGGTAGAGGGCCATTTCCTCTGCAGGTCGTTTCTGTGGGAGGACCAGCGAGAGGGTAAGTGCAATCTTCTGGAACAAACTTTTTATATGTAATTTAATGATTGGGGAAAAAAGGGAAACGGGGAAAAGTTGGAGGCATTAGGAATTGCATACAACACATTTTAGGACACATTAGGTAAATTATACCCACTGAGTATTCTAGAAAAGCATTTACATTCATTTTAAGATGTTTTTAATCAGTTACTCAGGTGAGTATAAGCATTTTTATGTGCAAATAAAAAAAATACTCCTGATAGATAGATAGATAGATAGATACACACACGCACACTGGATTGTTTTGCACGAGGGAATGACTTGCAGGCTTTCTCTTAGATGAAATCAATAAATACATTATACCTGATCAAAACTATCACAGCACTCAATTACTTTCTTTATCACGATAGAACATTTATTAAGAAGTATGATAAAATTTTTAATAACTTCATTATGTAATTCTTCTATGAAGCAGAAAACACCTGAAGGACACTTCTCTGTTTAATAATTCTCTGCTACAGTCATGATGGGAGATGTGCTTAAAAGAATATTAATTTCATCAGCTCTTCCACTTCATTACCCTACAGCTGAAATTACAGGTGCACAACATTTCTGAAAAGGAAATACTTTGTTACAAAAATATCTAGTCCTTTACTTTTAAGATTGTATTTTTTCCATAGACTTAATTCTGTGCCTTACAGAATTGTCTATCATCTTTAAGTTTGTATCTGTTACAGGAGACAATCCCAAAGGAATGTGATTTATATATTATGCCTGTCTTTATTTTAAAGGAATGGAGTAAAGTGGGTATATGCCATCTTGTGCCAGGAAGCAGTCTGAAAGAATAAGTCTGAACTGCATGAATTCCTCTCTTATCTGCTAATTTAATGAAATGTGTACTATAAAGGATATAGTGCTAGAGTCAGAAGAGATGTTGGAACGGCTGTCTTGTTGGACTGGGTGGGAAATGGTTGGATCTGAAGCCCTGGGAGAATGGCACCAGGGGGAGAAGCGAGAACTGCTGGTGTGGGGACAGGGAGAGGTAAGAACAGCAGAAACAAAGATTAAAAAGTTCAGCAGCAGAAAAAGTAAGAGCAGAGCTGACACTTTAAGGGGAGCAAATTTAGGTAGGAATATTTTGTTCTCTAGAATGAGATTCAGTTGCCAAAACATAAGCATCTAGTGCTGTTTTAGATGCTTCAGACAACTGTCAGCCAACTGTGCAGGCTAGTGGGGTCTGCTCTTACAGAGTAATCTGCTCTTACAGAGTAGCAGCTGGAGACCAAGGGAATAAGCCAAGGTGTGTCATGAGGCACTAGGCTCCTTTGGGTATTTTAATCTTGCTCCTTGGCTTCAGTGGACAAAATAACATTTTTTCACCATTTAAATGAGGTTAGTGTGTGGTTATCAGTTCTTCTGTTTGTGGATCCTCTTGAAAAACAGGATCTGGCTTATTTACAGAGCTTGTTACTTTTCTTCAGTTAAATGCACTGGCTGCGGTACTGTTTGTGGAAGACCTCCAGGTAGTTTATGCTGTCATACTCAGACTGCTGTCTGACTGAGGCACCCTGAGTGAGGATCTGGAGACACCTTCAGGCTCAGATCTGGCTTACATTTATACATACTGTTGACTTCCTTCACAGAATAGCAGTTCCTCCATTTTCTGAAGAAGCAAATACATGAATTTATTCAAAACATCAGTAGCCAGGAACTAACACTGGCAAGTCCTAAATTGAGAGCCCTCCTTACATGGGAAGCAGTCAAATCACTGAAAGGGTGTTATTGCTCCTGTAAGTACCTTTACGACAGAGAAATACTGTTCTCCAATAGTAGCTTTGGACTTAAGAGATAAAGTATTAGACATTTTCTTTCTGCCAGAGGTACTGTCTTTGGGCAGTTAGGTTTGGGTGCAAGTGGTCACCTCAAGAAGACAGGAAAACTGTCAATACCAGATCTTCCTGTCTCCATCAAATCATAATGTGAATGATGTGAAACTAGAGTTACTAGAATTAGTCAGAGGGGAAAAACTACCGCAGGCAGCTTATCTGTTTGTTGTGTCAGTTGATATTAAAAATAAAACCTAGTAGGGAAACACACTAATGTTAATGTTCTGTCCCAAGGCAGGTATTTTAAAGATTGGGGTCCGTGTTGGCAGATGCTGTTTTGTACTAAAGAACACTACTAAGGAACTGCACAGCACATTGTTGGCAATTTATCACCTAGTCCTACACACTTCTGTTTAATTTTTTATCTGTTTCAGCAGAGGGGATCATGTCAGGCTTGTTTACACCATTGTCTCATGTCTCTGTGCAACACTGAACTTGGATGTTCTTATTGTGTAAAATTATGCCAGCTGCTTTCTATTGGCTTCGATCCATCAATACATTTAGTGTGATTTTTCTGA